TCTTGCAAATTCTTGACATTCCTGGGAACACTGCCTTCCAGTCAGAATCAACTTTGACTTCTTTAAAAAAAAACTTGTGCGAAATCCCTCCAATACGAACATACTAAAAATTTAGATCTTAATTTCAAAAAAAAAGTTTTGAATTCGATGAAAACGAAATAAAGAACTCAAAACGCTTACTTTTGGGTTTTCCTTGATTCTTGATGGAATTGAGTGATTTAAAAGCCCATGATAGTTACTCTCAACCTATTGAGCAAGTCTTCTAAAGAAATTCGGACGAAATTTCGACTCTAAATGATTGTTTGGATCGGATTTTGACTCTCTCTCTAACTTTCTATCAATGAACCATAAAACTCTCTTTCATTTTATCTAATTAGGGCTAGGGGTGTACCTGAGGATCTAGTTCAACATTGTCATACATTTAAAGACAACTAAATATCAACATTTATTAGAAATTGTCACAAAAGTAATTTTATCTGGTTATCATAAAACTAAAGATAACTAAATACCAACATTTATGAAGAATTGGTTAAAGTAACAAAAAAAAATACTTAAAAAAAAAAATATAAAATATAAGGATATATCATGAAATTAAATTAACAATAAAAATAATTAATTTAAAGGTATTATATATAACAAAAATAAAAAATATATAAAAATATTTTAATTGAAATACGCTTATGGGTAAAAACCTCGTAAGCTATGAAAAGATCACTACATATTAGAAAAATAAAATAAAATACCAATTATAATATAATAATGTTGCAACAAATAGATAATAAATACACTAAAATTTAGAATAAGTTTTAAAATTAGTTTGATATAAACATTTATTTCAAAATAAATGAAGGTATAAATCATAATAAATAAACCATATATTTAAAATAAATTAAACAAAATAATAATAAAAAAAAATGTACATATATAAAAGAAACTATACACAGAAATTAAAAATAATAAAATAATAAAATAATAAAATAATAGAATAATATAAACAAAATAATAAAAAGAAACAATGTATTTATCTACATGGAAGATAGGCCTAAATACCACTTTGACAAACCTATTAATACGAAAGGATTATTAATATATTTAATATATTTTTATTTAACTCGGGTCAACTCGAAGGTTTTGCCTACGAACCCGAAATCGAACCAACAATACAATTCGGGTTTAGAAAAATAAACCCAACCCTACCCGAAATGCTAATTCAACCCAACCCAACCCTTATAGTTTAGGTTGAGTTGGTCCGAATTTTCGGGTTGAATGTACACCCCTAATTACGACTAATGTAGACCAATAATTAGGCAAATGGTTGATTTACCCTTCAGGTTGACTTAACAATTTTTTCAATTTTTTACTATTTAGTTTTATATATATATATTTTTTTTTTGAATTCATGAGATTTTTCTAAGAATTTTTCTCTTCTAAGATTGACATTCTCTTGTCCACTTTCCTTACCAAGTTGCTACATTATCTCAACAATAACTCAACTGACCCATGACCCGAACATTCGCTCACTACACATCCTCCTATGGACATTAAAGACATACCAAACCTCATAGTCCTCTTGTGAACACTTCCTCGGTTCCTTGTTCATATACATGTTTCCAACTTTAAAGGTGCTCCTAAAGCTACCTCGCCTCTTGCTTGTGATGTTTCACCCTCCCCGAATTTAAAGGTCACTACTAGGGTATAACCATCTATGAAAATGTGTTAACAATTACATAGGTTATATAGGCTTTAATCCAAGTGCACATGTCCATCTTCCTAGCATCACACAATACTTACTACATAAATTGAGGAGGCCTAGGCTATCTGAAGCCCTAGATCTCGTACTTGGGATCTGCAATGAAGTTGTCCATCTTCATCATCTTTGTAGCTAGCTAACTTTGGTGTTAACGTTGTAGTCTTTTGGGCACTAAATCGTGCTCATTGACTATCTTCACATCCTATTTCAGTTCTAGGAAGGTTACCTAATTCTTGAGTCTAACCACTATTAGGTAGTACTTCATTAGATAGACACATTTGAATTGGGACTACGTCACTGGTTCTTCCTAGACCACTGACCATTTGGTAGTACCTACGTCACTAGACCACTAGGTAGTACTTCAGGCTGCTCTTCTACTAAATTGTTTCATGCCTCTCACCATGTATGTGTCACAATGTACTAGATACTATGTAAGTAGCTCAAATATTGGAAGGTCATCTTTATAGTCTTTATCCACGCTTCTCTCGCTCCTTTGATCCCTGAACTTGATATCACGTGACCAGAGAATGGCACTACCAACAACCAAACTCGTCACTTCGAGAACTCGGTGTACAACTGGTGAGCTTATAACACCATCACAAATCCCCTCAGGTGTTCTCAATGAACTAACTCTATCTTGGTGTGTGCTGGTATATAGTCAAAGACGACTATGATGATATTGTCGAGAAAGTCTCATCAATATTTAGTTAGTCTAAACCTAAAACTCTATAGGGCATTGATCAGATTGAAGGACTTAACAATAATCTCTTCTTACTCATGACAACTTTTAAAAGTAGTCCTCGATATGTCCCTCTCTTTGATTCTCATACGAAGTTATCCTGACCTTGCCAAGACCCTCATGGTCTTTACTACCTCACCAAAAAGAACCGTGTAGTTTCTTCTCATGTGGTTAACATAGGTCTTTCCTCACAGTGAGACGCCCAGTCACATAGATCGCTTGAGTAATAATACTCATATGAGTTAAGTACGGACTTTTTGGGAGTAAATGATTCTTGCATAAGTCCTCTACGTCCACCTTGACCCGACCAAAAAGGAGGCCCAAGTGGTGTGAGAACCGAATGGTGGGTTCATACTCGCATGTGTGGACTTTGTGTAGGAAAATTAAGTACACGTCACAATTTTCTATTAGGAGAGCCGCGGTAGGAAAATAAACTGTTATGATAGGTCCTAATCATGAAATTACATGTGTTTGCATTCAACCCCAATAGTGGGTCACTTATTGAGTATTTCTTTAACTACTCAAGCCACATGCTACTTCTATTTCAGGTAAAGGCAAGGCATCCCTATACGTTTGACGATGACATCGCAACTCGAGATCATGAGACATGCATAGGGTAGTCACATTTATTTTCTTAGACTTAGGCTAGAATAGAATGTTTTTAATTTAAACGTTTATTTAGTATTTTATTGTGTTAAAGATGTTTTTGAACACGTAAGTCCAAAACACTGTTTTAAGATAAAGTTTATGTTTTATGAAGAAGTTTAAACGTTATTTTCACATAATAAAGATTACGCTATGATGATGGTAATGACTCTAGGTAAGTAAAAATCTAAGGTCGTTATAATTGTTGCTGAGAGTGCTCCCAATTCAAGTTTATGACACAATAGACTTAGACATATTAGTGTCAAATGAATGAAGATGTTGGCTGTGAAAGAAGTTTTACAAGACCTGAAATCTATTGATATGAGTCCTTGTGTGAGCTGCGTTATGGGCAAACAAAAACGAGTTAACTTCCCAAAGGCTGCCAAAGAACTAAAAAAAGTGCGGTCGAAAATGGTTCATACAGACATTTGGAGATCATATATAATTCCATCACTTGGTGGATCAAAGTTCTACGTCACCTTCATCGATGATTTCAACAGGAAAGTAAGGATTTATTTCCTAAAACACAAGTCAGATGTGTTTGGCACCTTCAAAAAGTGGAAAGCTAAAGTTAAAAATAAAACCAGCTTGAAGATCAAATGTCTGAGGTCTGAAAATGGAGGAGAGTACGACAAGTCAGAATTCAAAGTACTTTGTCAGATGAAGAAATTAAGTTAACAAAGACAGTTCCTGATAAGGTAAGACAAAATGGTGTTGATTAAAGGATAAACAAAATATTGAATGAGCGGGCAATGAGTATGAGGATTCATTTTGGATTGCCAAAGGCATTCTAGGCTGATGATATAAATACAACAACCTGCTTGATCAATAAAGAGTCGTTAGTACCCTTTAGAGTTTAACTGAGAACTCAAGTACTCTCACTTGAGAACTTTTGATTGCACTATGTATGTTCATGTTGATCTAGAAAAAGAGAGAACAACTTGATATTCAGGCTGTGAAATTCTACTTCATAGGCTATGGTTCTAACATGAACAAAAATGTTCGGTGATATTGTAGCATGACTTTTGATGAAAATGTCTGGTATATGGACAAAAAGAAGAAAGGTTTTGGGACAACGAAACAAGTGGTACTCGAGGTTGAGTTGCGAAAAAATTCACCTGGTGATATTGTAACAGATACTCAAGAGACTTCTAAGGCTCTTGCTGAGGAATCAGAAGTGGAGCAAGTGACACTTGAGCAAGCGTTGAGAAGATCATCCATAACCATCAGAGTACCAAATAGACATCGACTGATTAAGAAGAACCATAGTTCCCTAATGAGACCCTACAATTGGAAGATACATCCAAGTGCGAACAAGTTGGGTGTCTAGACTTCAGAAACATGTTGCTCTTTCATCTAATGAGGCTGAGTACGTGACAGTAACTGAAGCTGGAAACTAGATGATTTAGAAGAATTGGGCAAGAAGCAGCGCAAAAAGTTTTTTTATATAGATAGTCAGAGTGTCATACAGTTGGTGAAGAACTCTGTCTATCATTCAAAGACAAAAACACATTAGAAGACAATACCATTTCACTCGAAGATTATTTGAAAAAAATCAAATTGCATTCAATATCCAATAATTGAGACATTCTACTCAATTCCACGTTTAGAAAATAAAATTGTTCAAAATTCCAGCTGTAAAATTGGACTTTCTTATCAATTTTTTTGAATTCGAAATAATATTAAAACGACACCGTTCGTTCTCCTCTCATTTTCCCGCCAATATAGTTTTATGATTATTTGAATTCAGACTACGCCGAACACAGAGCTGCAGAAGCTGCCACGTGTCAACTCTGAAGCAAATTCAAATCCTTGTCCCTTTTGAACCCCAGACTCTTCGCTCCATCTTCTCCAATTCAAAGAAACCCTAAAAATGCGCTGAATCAATCTTTCTTCTTCAAGATCTCGAGCTTTTCATCCATGGCGAAAGTCATCAATCCTTCTTCGCGCTACAGTTCGTACGATGTGCGGTCTTCCAATTCCTCGCATTTCTCCGATCCTTCTTCTTCCTCTGAGTTCAAGCTCAAGTCTCCTATGAAGGCGGATTCGTCGTCTTCGCGCACTATTGTTAAGAGCAAGGCGGTTGATCTGGCTAGGGCTAAGACGAAGCCGTTGGATCAGAATTTGACGGCGATGGTGAAGAAATTCATGGAGAAGCGATCTGGTTTGAAGCCGAAGACGGTGAAGCATGCGACTGGGTTGGTGATTCCGTCGGATTTGATTGCGGAGGATCTGAAGAAGACGGCGAGGAAGGGAACGAACTTCGGTGGGCTGCATAAGAAGCTGTTTGGGAAGGGAATGGTGGAGAAGAAGGAGAAGGAGGTGAAGGCGTTGACTGAGGTGAAAGGGAATACAAGGACATTGGCGATGGTGCTGAGGAGTGAAAGAGAGCTTTTGAGTTTGAATAAGGAACAAGAACTGGAGATCACCGAGCTCAAATTAGTCCTAGAGGAGAAGTATGGAGAGGTCAGAAGTAGGATTATCTCTACTTTTTACATTAAACTTCCAATTCTACTCGATCATCTCTTAGAGTAAGAACAATACACTTTTAGTTAATTTTTCAGTTTTTTAAATGAAACTTTGACGTGATTGGTTGCATTTTTTTGATGTCTTTACTAGATTTTTATGTTTTCATTATGAAGTTTGGATGTTTTTCAACCTGATTGATTTTATGCTGAGGTTTGAACATTATAATGGTTGGATTTCTGCATTTATATAATTGGATTATTTTTAAAGATTTGTGAGCAGTGAATTATGGGGTAGTAATCGTCTACACATGGTTTGTTAACAGAACATTGTTGCTCATTGTTGTTATCAGATTGAGAAGTTGAAAGATTTATGTTTGAAGCAAAGAGAAGAAATAAAGTCACTGAAGAATGCAATATTGTTCCCAGATGTTATGAACTCTCAGCTTCAAGGCATCCTAGAAAAGCAGGACTCAGAGTTGAAGCAAGCCAAACAAATCATCCCCACTCTACAAAAGCAGGTCACTACTCTCACTGGCCAGCTTTATTCCCTTGCAGAGGACCTTGCCGAGGTATGAAAGAACGCATTGTTAAGTTGAACCTAATGATTTTAACCGTAGATGTCACAACTGGTTAGGAATCATGACTCTCCACAATGGTATGATATTGTCCACTTTGAGCATAAGCTCTCATGGCTTTGCTTTGGGCTCCCTCAAAAGACCTCATACCAATGGAGATGTATTCCTTGCTAATAAACCCATGAGCATTCCCTAAATTAGCCAAGGTGGGACTCCCCCAACAATGCTCGACACAACTTAGGTCTAGACCTTGAAAGCTTTTATTTCTTTGATATGAACTATGAAATTACAGCTTAAAACACAGCCTCAAATGAAATTTGGACACGCCGTGTTATGTTTCTGGTACCGACTAGCTTTTATTGAATAGGTATTCACTGCTATTTCGAAGGTGAGTTGATGGATTTAACTGATAGAACGACTGGCATTTTATTTTGGGCAGGTGAAGGCGGATAAGTATTCAGGAAAGGGCTGGTTACAAGGTAGCAGTTCCCCTCACACACCAACATATGATCACGAGGATGCTTCTAACCCTTTAGTAAGCACTGAAGATATCCTTGGATCTCATGTTCATCTTTTTAGTGTTGATATGTATTAATCCTGAATATAAGAGGTTAGAAAGACAACAATGCGAGCCCTCATTATTAAAATCATCTAGGACTCTGCCTCACCAAAACAGTCCATTCATCAACTAGATGCAAATCACTCATCCAGCATTTATGTAATTCAGGAGTTCAGTGCCTGTGATCCAACGTCCCCTAGCCGTCCAGATGACTATTTGCTGAAGGATGTGAATCCCTGTCTAACACCCTATTATGCAACTAAATCCAAGGTATAACTGCCTATCTCTGCCATTAATTTCTCACTTCACGAGTGTTCATTCAGTAATGTAATTAATTGAACTCATTCCTACAGGACTTTGAGGCAATGGGATATGATTCTCCGCGAGATGAAATTTTATCCCATAACAGAATGGAATCTGATTTTACATCATGTTCCAGGAAATTGTCCAAAAGTTCTGATTGCAGACAGAATTCCAACAAAGCAAAGACTACAAAAACAGCTCGAAGATCCGACGAGGCCAAGTACACGTATGGAAAGCCTATGCATAAATTTTACTGAACCTCATTTTTTTTCCAGTTGTAGTTCACATTCTTCATCCTTCTACATAATTTTTTTGCCATCGCCTACTATCACTGTATGAACCAATAGAGCTTTAGGGGGAGTAATACCATTGTGTACATGCTACATTTGAAAAGCTCATCAATAATCGTAAATGGTTCTCGTTCTTTGAGAATGTTACTATTTTGCATTCAAGCTAAGATCTACACAGTAGCCTGTGTGCCTGAGCCAATGTTCCATTAGTATTAAGATTGTGTGTTTTACTTTACACCTTAATATTTTCTTTCAAGATGACACTAACAAGTGGATGAACAGCTAGAAGGATATTTCAGACTCAACTTTTGAAGGTGCATATCCCATTTCATAAAATCAGGAGGCGGTGATTTAGCCAGCAGCAACCGAATCAGGTTCTAATTTTCATCCAAGTAGTTGTATTGAAGTACTAGTGTGCCATATACAGGCACACTAGTACAAACAGGCAAACTTGTACCAAATTGGGATTGGTTTTATTTTTTAAGCAATCAAACAGGCATTCTAAACTTTGATTTAGGACTTCCGTGTTGCCTACTTAGGGCCCATGAAAATTAGGAGATTGAGGTTGTGCATAGTGGGGAGCCTGCCTTCCACTGTGCTAGTCTAGAATGACATAGGGATAGTCAGCTTGTTGGGTGCCATTATGGGAGCATCCGGCTAGTGCTTAGTAGTAGGCATGTGTGGAGTAACATGGTGACCTGAGAGGCTACCTATAGAGAGCACGGGCTTCTCCATACCTACTAGATCTACCCTAGAGCCTGAGATAGATGAGGGTGGCCTGACTCATCCACAAATAGTTTGATGGAAGCCGAATGTGAAAATAGGTAGATTATGAAACCCTAAGTGGGTGAGCTTACCCCTTAGACTTGGTGTATTTAGGGTATGAGACTTGATGAGCTTGATGAGAAAAAACTTAGAAAATTCTAATGAGAAGATGTGATGAGAGATTATAAGTAGGTTGCTTACTTAGTAGTTTTATACTTTTGCTACTATTTGTTTTTAGGATGGTTCATAGATGGTCGATTGTGGGTGAAAGCGTGCAGGCCGAGTGGCTGCAGAGGGGGGACCCTTAGATCCATGTCTGAGTGTTTTACTTCTCAGTTATTGAAACCCTGTTATTTTATTAACTGTTTTGTATTTATGACTTGCATAGAATATGTTTGTAAACTTTGATTTTGAATTATCTAATTGTGTCTTGTTTGAAATTATTTCCATAAATCTACTTTAACGATCTGTAATTTGAAACATTGAAAGTAGGTCTTTACAAATTCCCTTCAGGATTTGGTTACTTACAGTTCATAAGATTATTGATTCGTATTCACAGTCCATGCAATAAGTGATAAGTATTTCTAACGTTCTCACCTTTGATCACGTGATTCTTCCCAAACTTCTACTAATTAACATTCTAATTTCCATTGAACTGTTTTGTTTAAGAATTTTTAGTGTGCATTAGCTGATTATTATCTCTAATTTTCCCACTTTATTGGAAGATAAGCTTTGAAACAGTGTAGTTGTGTTCAATGAGCACCCGATTATCTCTTCTTTCCTCCAAAATGCAACAAAACATTGATTGTATTAGTTGTCCAGACGTAACATTAGCACTCCAAATCGATTCAAGTAGACAAAATGAGCTTTAGTTCAAGTCTCAGTATGATATAATATTCCCTAATAATGGCCTATCAACAAAGCTTATCGGTACAAAGAAATAAATAAAGTCAAGGAAGAACTCTTTAAAAAAAAAAAAAAAGAAAAAAAAAAGGAGAGTGAGGAAAACTAGGGTTTGTAGGAGGATTAAGAAGAATTCAAATTCGTTTAATCCAACACATGAACAATGAATTTGGCTAAGGATTCTTCTCAAGAGTAGCTCATTGGATCAAGGAGAGTAGTTCTGGGCATTTGGATCGACAAATTCCACCAAGAACTCGAGGTAAAACTGTAGGTGTTTGGCTTCGGATTATCTTCAAGATCCTAGATGTATTTGTTGATATTAGGTTCTAATATTTGAATATGATAATCTAGATTTGTTAGAATCTCCTTGTTTTGCTACCGCTTGACATCACGTGCTAGGGATCTCTTCATAATATAGATCCTCTCGAAGTGGGAGCGCCTCGTGCTCTATGATGTGGGTAGGATCCAAGATGTACTTTCGCAACATAAAAACATGAACACATTGTGCATAGTAGCGAGGGTGGGTGGCAGTGGTAACCTGTACGCCACAGGTCCTATCCACTTGAGGATCTCGAAGGGACCTATGAACCTCGAACTTGACTTGCCCTTCTTTCCAAACCTCAACACCCAGGGCCACCTTAGAGAAGACGTGATCACCCACAGCAAATTTGAGATCCTTTTGGCAAGAATTTGCATAACTCTTTTGTTGGCTTTGCGCAGTCAGCATCTTGTGTTTGATCTTCTACAGTGATGCGTTTGTAACCTTAACTAATTTCAGCCCCATGAGCTGTTGTGAACCAACTTGTTCCCAAAACATCAGTTTCCGACACTTTCGCTTATACAAAGCCTCAAATGGAGCCATTTGCATCATCGCTGGTAGCTATAATTATATGTGAGTTTAAGAGTAGGTGCTCATCCCCCAACCTGTGAAATCCATTGCACAAGCTTGGGAAGAACTTGATTCAACCTCTCCTTTTGTTCGTTTGTTTGGGGTGGAAAACTGTACTAAAATAGAGTTGCATATCCTACGCTTTCTATGGACTCCTCCAAAAATGAGAGGTGAATCTGATGTTTCAATCTGATACGATCGATACTGGCACCCCATGCAGATTGACTATCTCCCTAACTTATAACTAAGCTCAACAGTACACACACAATGTGTCGTTGTTAGGAATAAAGTGAGTTGTCTTGGTGAGCCTATCCACAACAACCCAAATCACATCAGAACCCACATGATTCTAGATAAGTCAAATGTAAAGTCCATGCTCACTTCCTCACACTTCCACTGGGGTACATTTAGTGCTTGCAACAATCGAACGGGTTGTTGTTTTGGTGCCTTTAATTGCTGACAGGCATAGGCAAATTACTTTTCCATTCTACATAAGCATGCAACCCAATCCTTTTTATTGAGGTTTCACTATACACCACGAGGTTACCCGTCGCATCAAGCACAATGAGAACTGGTGCTATCAATAACATCTTCTTCAGTTCTTAGAAACTCTGTTTGTAGGCTCGAGTCCAGACAAAGGGCTTCCCCTTCTTGGTCAACTGAGTCAGCTGTATATATTCTAGAGAAATGTCATACGAACCTTTTGTAATAGTCAAACCGTAAAAAAATACACACCTCAAAGACTATAGTCGACCTTGACCACCTCATAATTGCTTCTATATTAATTGGATCCATAGTGATTCCCCCTTTGGATGCCTCGTGACCCACAAAAGCCACCTCGTGCATCTAGAACTCACACTTCGAAAAATTGGCGAACAATTGATGACCTCTCAACACAGACAAAACCTTCATCAAGTGGTCTTTATGCTCTGCTCTTAACTTAGAGTACACCAAGATGTCATCAACAAACACAGCGACAAAGGCATCAACATACTCCTTATTTACCATGTTCATAAGCTCCATGAACACCGTGGGAGCATTGGTAAGATTGAAAGACATACTATAAACTCATAATGTCCATAACGACTCCTAAAGTCTGGCTAGGGTATGTCCTCCTCCCTAATCCTCAACCAACGGTACCTTAAACTCAAGTTAATCTTGGAGAACACCGATGTATCCTGCAACTATTCAAATAGGTCATCTATTCTCGAGAGGAGATACTCATTCTTGATAGTGACCTTGTTCAACTCTCGGCAGACATAAAGAACCATTCTTTTTCTTTACATAAGAGTAAAGAAGCTTTCCATGGTGAGACACGGGGCCGAATGGAACCCTTGTCCAAGAGATCCTATATCTGATTGTTCAATTCCTTGAGCTTGACAAGTGTCATTATGTAAGGTCTCTTGGAAATCAGCGCTATATCAGGTTTCAAGTCAATCCCAAAATCAACTTTTTTGTTTGAAGGAAAATTCCTCAGGAAAGACATACTCGAAATCTCTGATCAATGGGATTGAGGAAACTGTCAGCTTAATCCCTTTGTAAGCTGTCACACTAGCCAAGAACACCTACGTGGATCATTTCTCTGGCTTTTATGGCTAAAACAACTCTAGGGGTTCCCCTAAACGACATCCCTTTGTATACAAGACTCTCCCCAGTAGGGAGTCTGACAGTCGCCACTTGTGCCTCACAATCAATCAAGGCACAATTTTCTCCTAACTAATCCATTCGCAAAATAATATCAAAGTCTTGCATGCTTAACACAATTAAAATGGCATCCAAGACTTGTCATGCAATTTACACACCCTACCTTCACCCTGTGGGTAACTATTAACAACTTGTTCGATGATGCAAAAACAATAAGAGTTTACTCCAGAGGCTCCAACTCTAAATAGAGTTCTTATTAGTAATCTACCTATTTGTATAGTTGGTCACTTTATATTCATCGTTGTTTCCCTTGTTTAAAAGAAAATAGAGTTAGAAAATCCTCTTTGATACTCTAGTTTCATTGCAAGTAATTGAAGGGTTAAGAATAATCCTCAAAATAGGGCTTGAGAATTTGTTAAAAGTAGTTACAGTTCACCACAATAGTCCGACAACTTATTTATTTAAACTCACCTAGTCGAACCTTTAATAACTCACATTTAAATGACACTTAAAACTCACTTAATTTTCAGCAACAAAAGTAACTAAAAAATACAGGTTCGATGTGAAATTGATAATTTATTTATTATTTATGTATACTTGCACTTATAAATTTCACACCATTTTACTATGTTCCTTCACAAGACACCAACTGCTTGCCCCTCAAACGGTGCATATCCATGAGAATAGAGATTTGTAGGGCTGAAGCATAATCTGGAGGGGCATGGGCTACCACGGATCCCTGGATCTCATCCCTGAGACCCGCAATAAAATGACTGATCCTCATCTTCTCTGTGCTCACAAACTCGAGCAAATCTACGTCTATTGCATTCAACATCATAATTCTCAACAGAGCCATCACTCTCGCACAACTCATTTAATGTCAACTTCCTCTTGCGGGTCAGATGTAAGTGGAGTGTTTGCTCAAAGAATGCTAAGGAAAACATTCAGC